TAAGATATGAATTTTAAAGGCAATGGGGAATCTTTACTAAGGGTGTAAATTCAGAGACATGTTGTTCTCATGCTAGTAAACCCACTCCCTTTGTAAAAAGGAATACTGCTGGAAATGGATGCCCGGTATTATTGCAGTTCTCCTTTGGTAAAGGATAAAAACTGGGAACCGTATTGAGAAAGGCAAGAACAAAATTGATCCCTGAGCAAATACCTCTGCTGCCAAGAAGATGGTTCACCCCGTGGCCCGATGCAACCGGATCAACGGGTGAGGCAGAGAGGAAAAGCCAAAGGGACCTGCGACCCACGGTGGAGCGTGCTTACTGCCTCTCGAATACTGAAGTTCCCTTGAGGACTAACACACTCCAGGAATCCGAAAGGACAGCTCCCCAGGGAAATCAAAGGGTATGTAAAATCTTTAGAGTAGGACCCCTGTTGCCTTCTTGTGAAGGCCACGGCGACCTGGTTTCAGGGTCCAGCACTGCGATCTCCTCCGTGGGATCCCTTGTGGCCAATAACGGACGCTGACACCAATGTGGTGGACGGTTAAAGGCATTTATTGAGGGGTCTTAAGGGTACTTATGGACTAAGGGGTCTCTCTATGTCAGACAGGGGTTTGGCTATACTTTCTAAGGTTAGTATGGAGTGGAAAGTTACTGGCATGCATAGGTTAGGGGGGCTACACGTCTGGCTACATTCCAAGGGTGATCCTTATCTATGGGGAGGGGGGTAGAAGGATTCCTGTAACTTTCCGTTACAGCCCTAAATCTTCCGAACGCCTGTCCCTGGCCTACCACACTTCCCCCCCCTCTTTCACAAATGAACGAGGTAGTCTTATACATAGGCACTAAAATGAGGTAGGAAGTTGAGATCTGACTAGGGAAAAGGGTCTTGGGAAACCTGAGTAAGTTTCTGCCAGGCAAGTCTCTCGTGACTGGCAGCGTTCCCTGTTGAATTCACAGGAATTGTGGCTGTCCCATGAACAGGATGTTAGCCTGTTCTAGGCAGGCCTGAACGAATGAGACTAGCTTGTTCAGCAGGCATGGCCCGAAGGTAATAGCTAAAAGCAGCATTGCCAATGGACCTATTAGGGTAGAAATTAGGGTGGTTAGCCATGGTGATTGGTTGAACCAGGATTCGAACCAGTTCTGTTGGGCTTCCCTGTCTTTCTGTCTCTGAGCCAGTCTGTTTCGGAGTTCTGCCATGGAGTCTCTAACGACTCCTGTGTGGTCAGCATAGAAACAGCATTCCTCTTTCAAGGCAGCACACAGGCCCCCTTGCTGCATGAACAGGAGATCCAGTCCTCGCCTGTTCTGCAGGACCACTTCTGAGAGTGAAGAGACTGACTTTTCTAGAAATGAAATGGATTTCTCGATCCTCTGCAGGTCCTCATCGATGGTCATCTGCAGCTGGGACAGTCCTTGGTGTTGAGTTGCTAGGGCTGAGACACCTGTTGCCGTTCCAGCCGCTCCTAGGCCGAGCAGCATTACGATAGTTATACCTGTTAATATTTCCCTCTTGTGGAGCCGGCTGTTTTCTTCGAAAAGGTGGTACACCTCTTCGTCTGAGTGGTACAGGACCCTAGGGATGATCAGAACTTGAACACAAAAGTCGTTAGAGTTATCAAATTTGGCAAGAGACACGCAGGGACTTACTCCAGATCTCTGGCAAACCCACATCCCAGATGTGGATGGGACTACCCACTTATTATTTTTTCTGTCGGGCTCAACTACTTCGGTGCAGATGTCGCCTTTCCGCTTAGCTAGGGTTGCATTGCCGAAGCATCTGCCCTGACCTGTGACTTGACTCAGGGTAATTCCTTTGCGGGGTGTGTCCCATCTGCACTGGCGAGGGGCATCGGCTGTGGAATAGCTGAAGGGGGTATCTAAAGCGACTCCTTCGTAAAAGGGGGGTTTAACATCGTAGCAAGGCCAGCAGGAATCGGTTAGGTTAGGGTTAGATTCATTCAGGGATAAAAAGGTAGCTTCTAACATGCGAAGGATTGGGTTCGAGCCTGACCTGGCTGATTGGCCTATCTGGAAGGCTTCCTCATCGCCAGTCGGGACGTCGGTGACCCTTGTGGGCAAGGGTTTGGGGTAGGTCATATTTTTCCCTTTCTGTGTGCTTTTGATCACTTTGTTGGGCCCAACTGCTCTGGGTGCTGACGGTGGGAGTCTGGTAATTCGCACATTCACCCACTTTCCTGACCCTTGCAGGACTACTGTCCATGCTTTGCCCACGGCCCAGCTAGGGTGATTCGGCTGTAAAACTGTCATGTTATAGTGAGTGCATTTCCGGAATTTGGGGACTTTATGTTGGTTTCGATAGAAACTTCCCTGAAGGAAGACGGGTGTTTTGCAACCTGTGGGTGCCCAGGTGAACTGTAGGAATCTGTCGGGCTCTTGCGGGTCCCACCCAGGTCCTGATGGCCTGGCGTCTGTAACTATTGTTTCGCAGCCCCAGTGTCCACAGTATCCCCACCCTGGGCGATTGCAATAACTTTTTCCTGGGTTTGAGGCTGGGCACCAGTAGGATAGGTACATGTGCGTGGCGTGAGAAGAATGGGGGTCTACCTTTTGTTGTTCTGGAAACAGGTCGGTGATGTGAAGCACGAAGGATGGGGCGTTCAGCGTGGTGATGACTCTGAGCACCTTGTCACCAGCAACATGTTGCATGATCCACCTGAAGGGCTGATGATGGTAGTAGTCTGGGCTGGCTTGCCCTCCGGCGACAAGCCCCAATAGCACAATCACGCAGAAACACCGTGTTTGCTTGGGTCTCGCCCGTGTGGGTCTCTCAGGTGCTGTCCGGTGGCTCGGTGGACTGTCACTTTCCTCTGGGAGGGGAACGTACGCATCCCGGGGACGGCCAATAAGCATGTCCTGTAAATAGAAACTCGCAGTTCTCATCAGTCTTGTCCCGCCCACTATGAAGGTCAGGCTTGATTGACCTAAGTGGACACCACCTAATTTCGCCGTCCTTTTTGACAGCTGCGTACCCTCGTCCCGTGAGCATCAACCTCCAGCCCTGTTCCCATTCACCTAGCTCATTTCTAATTGCAACCTGTGGGCCTTCCTCTAGCGCTCTGGTGGCCCAGTGTTTCTGGATGGGGCTGTTTGTTTCATCCCCCCTGGGAAACTGATTCAGTGCTAGCAAAGCAGTTGCTAGTATGCGTGCCTGATCTTCCGGGGGAATAGAATTGGCAAAACCCTCTGCTTTTGCCAACACCTCCAGCCTGGTTTTCAGGGTCTGATTCGCCCACTCTACTATGGCCTGCCCGGTACTGTTATACGGGATACCCTGTACTAATGTGATGCCCCATTTCGAGGCGAATTCTTGCACTGGTTTGGAGGTGAAATTGGAACCGTTGTCAGTTTTTATCTGCTTGGGGATGCCAAGCCACGCCATGGCTGTCAGCCAGTGCTGAATTGTGGCTTTAGAGTTAGTTTTGGGGTGTTGTGTGGCCACGATCATTCCGCTGAAAGTGTCCACCGTCACAGCAAGCCACGCTCGGGGCTTCAGCAGTTGACACAAGGTGAAGTCCGACTGCCAGATTTGTGAAGGCTTGAGACCTCTCGGGTTGATCCCACTGGTCCACAGGGGTGACTTCTGGCAGTGAGGACAGGTAGCCACCACATGCCTTGCGTCCGCTGTTGAAATCCCGCATCTCTTCGCCAGGGCCTTGGCCCCGATATGGAGTGATTCATGCAGCTGACGAGCTTCCTGCAATGTCCATACGCCTTTTGCTGCGGCGTCCGCCTTGTTGTTGCCTGTTTGGAAGTAACCTTTGATTGGGTCGTGGCTGTTGGCGTGAATGATGGATACGGTGCCCTGTCGTGAAGAGAGCGCTTCTTCCAGCATTAGGGCTGCTGTAGGTGTTGACACACCCGGTCCTGCCATGGCTAGGCAAAGCCTCGCTACGAATATAGTCTGTTACTATATTGAGGTGTTCATCTTTGAAAAGTCCGCACGCTAAGACCACTGCTGCTGCTTCCAGTTGCTGCACTGACAGTGTGGGGTCACACGCTTTGATGCAATGCCATTGCTCTCCTGCCTGCCACACTGCCGTTGCCGTAGAAGTCATGGAGGAAGCGTCCGTGAAGACTGTCGGTCCTGGCTGCGGTCGGTCCTTGACCTTTGGCGGTATGTCTATGTCGACGATGGTCAGCAGCCGAGTCCAGGGCGGTTTTGCTGAGTAGGAGATTTCTCCTCCGAAGCCGGTGAGAGCAAGGGCTAGGTGCTCTGAAATTGCAGGTGACTCTGCAGACGGTTGCTTGCGAAAGGGAAGGTGTATTCTTGTCGGCTCAGTTCCTAGGTGTCTCAGGGCGAGTTTCCTGCCTTTCCTGATGAAGTTAGTGACGCATTCGACTCCTGGGGAGAATGCACGAGCAGGTCTCCCGAGGACCACCCATTGGATCGGCCGGGCCTTTTCAGAAGGCCCTTGTGCCAGTGCCCCCACTCCGCCCTTTGGCGTGAAGTGTACGTATAAGTCCAGGGGCATGGCCGGGTTCCACCTGGCCAGCGTGCCAGTGGACATTTGCTGATCGATGAAATCGAGGGAGCTCGCCGCTTGTGGTGTCAGCTCCTTGGGTTCCCAGGGGTATTGTCCCTTCAGGAGGTCATATAAGGGGTCCATGACCTCGGGGGGGATCAGGACGACGTTGCGGACCCACTGCAGCGATCCCACCAGGCATTGCACATCGTGAAGTGTCCTGATATCCCGGTTGATCCTTACCTTGGGAGGAGTCACGTAGGAGCTTGTGATTCCCACTCCCAGGAAGGTCACGCAGGGTCCTCTCTTGACCTTTGCGCTTGCGATCTCGAAGCCGTTTGCCCGGAGGGTTTCTGTGATCGCAGACACCAGGTGGTCCACCTGGCTCGTCGATGGTGCAGCGACTAGGATGTCGTCCATGTATTGGATGATGGTTGCGGCAGGGTAGGAATGTCGGACTGGCATCAGTGCTCTGTCCACGGTGATCTGGCAGATAACAGGACTGTCCACTAGGCCCTGTGGAAGTACCCTCCATTGGAAACGGAGGTTAGGCCGATTACCGTTTGGAAACGCGACGGAAAAGGCAAAGCGTTCTCTGTCGTCTGGATGTAGGGGTATCGAGAAGAAACAGTCTTTGATGTCCAGCACTGCGCACGGCTGTCCTTCAGGGATGGCTGAATTCATGGGTAGCAGTGTCTGGACTGGACCCATGGGTCGAATCGTCTTGTTCACTTCTCTCAGGTCGTGGACGAGACGATAACCCTCTCCGGACCTTTTGGGGATTACAAACACAGGGGTGTTCCATGGACTGGTGGAGGGTTCTATGTGACCCTTTTGCAGTTCATGGTTGACCAGTTCCAGCAAAGCTGCCACTCGAGGCTCTGACAAAGGCCACTGCTCCCTCCAAACAGGATCTGATGATTTCCAAGTCAATTTGATCGGCAGCTGAGGGTGTACAGCAGTGGCCCCTATGATAAATTTGTAATCTTGACTCCTAGCATAGCGAGGATGTCCCTTCCTATTAGTGGTGGAGAGTTTTGCAAAATGTAGGGGTAAATTGCTACTGTCTGTTCTGGTCCCTTGTTTGTGTGAAGTGTTATAGCCACCAGCTGGGTGCTTTTCCACGCCCGGGTTTGTCCCCCCACCCCGTTCACTGGGGGGACTTCCTTAAACCGCCAATGTCTGGGCCAATGCAGTTGAGGGAGAATCGTGCAGTCTGATCTACCCAAAACTGAAGTCCTACAATGTGGGGGTCCTGACTGCCATAGAGGCGGCATGTCCCCCTCACCCTCAGGGGTTCCTTCCCTATTTTCATGGCCAGGGCCACCCAGGGGTCCCGGTTTGGGGCGTCCCCTGCTGGTCCTGTAGCGCTTGCGTTGATGATGGGGGGTGTGAGGGTACGGTTGGTGGTGCTGCATAGCTCTGCCATTGTATCGCTGGCGGAGGTGCGATACTGACTGCCTCGTGTGGGAGCATAGGGTATGAGGATCCCCTGCCCCACTGTGGGTTGGCATAGATGGGCCGTCTCGCATCCATAGCGGGAGGGGGCTGAATATGGCCCGCACGCCCCCCCCACTCTCCCGTTTCCCCGGGGCCGGGATCTACAGTCCCTAGCGAGGTGACCTCTCTTCCCACAGCTCCAGCAGACCCCTCTGGGGCGCTGCTGGGGCGAAGGTGTTGCCTGGGGACGCTGTGTCGGCTGAGGGCAGTTAGCTGCGACATGACCTGACTGACCACATTTGAAGCAGGCCATCACACTGGTTAGGGTGTGCACGGTTGCCTGAAGTGGGGCCAACTGCTCTTCCCTCACAACATGCTTAATCATGTCAGCCAGGCTGGCCCCGGCCGGTAGGAACGCAATATATCTTTGGTTACGGTGTTACATTGCTGCCAAAGGCAGTCAGTTACCACTGGGCCTTTTGCAACAGCAGGTAAATTAGAAGAGTCCACCGCAGCCTGAAGGCGGTCAACAAATTGTGTAAAGCCTTCACTCTCCCCCTGTTTGATGGTCGACCATGGTGTCGGTCTGGCCACCACCCTGGACGCGGCGCGTATAGCTTCTCTGGCCGCCTGGGAAGTCGCCCTGACTTCCTCAATCCAAAGCTGCGCAGCTTGTTGCTGGGGTGTGGCCACTTCGTCATGCTTCCCCAACAACCTAGATAAACTCGACCCGTGGAGTGGCTGCCCTTCCCCCGCTGTCTGAGCGAGCATGGTTGCACATTGGTCCGTCCATTCCTGTTTAAATATTATCAAGCCCGCCCCATCAAAAAGCATACGGCTTATTTGCACTATATCGAAAGGGAGTAAATCATCATTGCTAAAAAGACCATCCACGAGAGTGGAAACCACCCCTGAGTTAATTCCTTTTTCTGAAATAGCTTTTACTATTGTCTGAACGTCTTTGGAATTAACGGGAGTATACGTTCTTTGCTGGTTCCCCTGGGGTCCCGTAATTCTCACCGGGAAGGCATGCACCGATGCTGTGGATGCCCATTCCGCACATTCGATTTTGATTTTACCCCAGTCGGTGAGTTCGTATTGGGGCTGGTTCCCGGTTGTGTTAAAAGTTTTAATTGGTTTCGTCCGAAACCGCATTGATTCTGTTTTCTCTGCTTCCGAGTCGCTGCTGGACTCGGTGGGCTCCGCAGAGTGATCCGGGGAGCTGTGGCTCCCTTCAGAGTCGGAAGTCGACTGCCAATATACTTCCGGTCTCTGCTGCCGTTTTGTCCGGCTACGGCCCCGCTCCTCCCCTCGGGGGCAGTGCTGATGCCGCTGCCGGTGCCGCCCCCTGGGCTCGCCCTGCCTCCCGCAGGGAGGGATCTCTCCCATATATGGTGGCATCAGTGGGCGCGGTTCCCGAGTGAGTGCCCGCCCTCCGTCGCACCCCCACGCATGTGCGTCTGCTGGGACCCACGGATCTCGGCCGGGCATGGGCTCAGCGCTGGTTTCCCGCGCATGCGTGTTCGCAGCTGGCCGCGGTTCTGGGTTCGTCCTGCCGCGGACCGGCGGGCTCCACCCCTCTTCCCGGCCACCCGCGCCATATTCAAACGGGTAGGGCGGCGGATCCCCTCCGCCGCCCGCCCGCGCGCCAGCCCTCTCGATATTTCGGGCTTCTGTCGCCAGCCCCTCCCAAAAGGACCGTGCGAGTCCCTCCGCTTCTTGCGCTAAGTCGGCTAGCGGCGGGGAAGGGTTGGGCGAGGGGTCCGCGGGCACCCCGGGGGGCTCCGGAGGTGGTCTGGGCCCCGGCGGGTCCCCCGAAGGGGTCAGGGGGTCCCCCGGGGGCTCCGAGGGCTCCGGGGGCTTTGGGCTGGAGGAGGGATGGGTCGCGCCCGGCCCCCCCGTCTCCCCGCTCTCAATCGGGTCGCCACCGGGGGGGGTTCGCATTATCGCCCCCTCCCCCAGCTGTGGCGCGATTAACAAACAGGAGCGCGCAGCATTCCACGTCTCCTGTTCTTCTAATGCTTTGCGTAGGGCGGCTTCTGCCTTCCCCCACGCTTTCAGGCTTTTGCTGCTGCCTGTGGCTTTTGTGTCCTCTGCTAGCGCGACAGTACATTTCTGCCACACCTCAGAGTGCAATATATCTATGGGTCGAGAAATGACCCCAATCTCTAGGAGTCTCGTCAATGCGAGATTAAAATTCCTGAGTTCACATTTGATTCCCCATTGCATATGTATCAAACTTACGACCTTCGCTATCGCTTCCATACGAATCGTGGGTCCTGGGGCGTCCCCCTTCTTCGCTATGGCCGTTCCGGCGTTGAGTGCTGTCCCCTGGCCAGGAGTACTCCCGTCGCCCGGACTCGTCCCGATCCCGGGTTTCGGCACCACTATGTTGCCTTCTTGTGAAGGCCACGGCGACCTGGTTTCAGGGTCCAGCACTTCGATCTCCTCCGTGGGATCCCTTGTGGCCAATAACGGACGCTGACACCAATGTGGTGGACGGTTAAAGGCATTTATTGAGGGGTCTTAAGGGTATTTATGGACTAAGGGGTCTCTCTACGTCAGACAGGGGTTTGGCTATACTTTCTAAGGTTAGTATGGAGTGGAAAGTTACTGGCATGCATAGGTTAGGGGGGCTACACGTCTGGCTACATTCCAAGGGTGATCCTTATCTATGGGGAGGGGGGTAGAAGGATTCCTGTAACTTTCCGTTACAGCCTGAAATCTTCCGAACGCCTGTCCCTGGCCTACCACAGACCCCACCCTTTTTGGCAAATCTGTCATAGGGGACATAGGAATAAGTAACTAGAAATATAGAGGGGGGAAGAACATCTAATTCAAGTAGACATGAGATTCACTTAAATCTAGAATTGGGAGAGGAAGCCACCTTGAGTCAACTTGCATTAAAATGATTTGATGAACAAAATGGGTAAAAGGGGGGAATTGTAATGAGTTAATGTCTTAGTTTGTTCATCAAGTTGCTAAAAAGACTATAAAAAGGGGAAAAGCCAATAAAAACCGCAAGGATAGATGTAACCAGTTAATATGTTGCAAGATGAATATAACGGGCTAATGTACTGCAAAATAAATGTCATAAGGCTTAAACCGCAAACTGTCAGAAGCTAATATGCTGAAAGGCTAACTAAGCAATGTGTAACTCTATGTAGCTATGTGCCTATATATGGTAAAGGCTATTGTAAGACCTCAAGGAAGAGGACGGGAGCCTTCGTCCAGGCGACCACCAGAAGGCAGAATAAGACCCCCTAGCAACTATCGGCACAGACGCAGAGAACACCGGAAGGACACCCAACAACAACAGATAAAAAGGAGGACTGAACTGCCAAGGGGTGTGGGCCATTGGTGGAGCTGTGACTCCCCGGCTACACCCAGCGCTCCCGGGTGGGTGCAAGCCTTTTGTTGGCTTCACCCAGTGCTGTAATTTGCCTATTATCGCTTGCTCTATCAATTAATAAATTACATTTCATTTGGACTCACTTGTCGGTGATTGATTCCTCACCGCAACTTATAACAAATGGCATCATTAGACTACAAGCTGTCCTCGGAATAACCAACCAGACAGCTCCAGCTCCTGACCTTCCTGCTGAGCAATCCACTGAAATGAGGAACACAACATTTCACCATGGCATGGGATCAGATCATCTGTTAGCAGAAAAAAGAGGCGTTTGTGGAAAATTAAATGACTCAAACTGCTGTTGGCAAATAGATGACAAAGGAAAAGTGGTGGAAAAAAAACCACAACGGAAACAAAAAAGCAGCTCATGTATTGGTCCAAATGTGAAAAGGACGGGAATGGGACACGGTTTTGTGGTTCCGTGGCAGAGCATGGGTTAAACGAATGCTGTTTCTGCTCTCCTGTGCTACAGCAACTCTCACCTTTTTACCGTGCTCCACACCTTGAGAGTGCAGCTCATTCAGCAGCTGAGCGAGGGGATGCAGGTGGCAGCCAGGCCTCCTGATCCAGAAACGGCTACAGAAGGACAGGGAATGAGGGCACTGAGAACACTCCCAAAACAAAGAGGACTCAGGAAAAGAAACTGAGTCAATGGCAATTAATATTTGTAAAGACAAATATTGAAAAAAAAACAATAGGAGGAGGGATTGCAAGGAATAAAATGAATGTGTCTTTAGAAAAAGAGATGGTGTGAATCTGCTTGGAGATTGGGTGGGGGACTTGTAGAGTTTTAAAAGAGTTCCTAATTGACACGGACTGCTGCTCAGCCAAGGTCCGGCTAAATTCCTGAACTTTAAGGGGAAAAACAAAGACTTAATGCAGTTATGAATTTAGGGTGTTTATACTAAAGCGGGGTGCATAGTAAAGAGCACATACAGTAGGTAGATCGAGCAGCCTTGTACCTTCCAAGTACCTGAGCCAGTGGGGAAAGGGAGAGGGAGAAGTGGACAGGAAATTAGGATAAAAAACAAGGCTACGTTTTAAAGACCTCCTGGGAAATGCCCCACGGCCTCTCCCTCTGCTCAGCAATAAAGTCACTTGTACAGGACTCCTCTGTCTCCTCGGGGCACAGAAACCTCCGGCCACGTCAATTTCCCCGCACAGCCCCGGGCACGGGGCAGCCGCCTCTGTCCCAGCCACAGCAACCGGGCCGAGCCAGCGCTGCTCCGGCAGCGGCTCCTGCCGAGGCAGCGGCCGCAAGGAGACCGCGGGCAGGGGATGCCCGAGAGAGGCCCCGAGCCCCTGGGAAGCCCCTGCAGAGCCATGGAAGCGGCTCCTGGCGGCACCTGTGAGCCCGGGGGGGATCCTCGTGGAGCAGCCCGTTCCCGAGGGACCGTGTCCCGTGGGAGGGACCCCAGGCTGGAGCAGGACGAGGATTCCTGTCCCTGAGGGGAGGCTGTGACATGACCGGGCTCTGACCCCCATCCCCTGCGCCTCTGGATGGGGAGAAGGGAGGGAATGCAGGATGGAGTTAAGCCCGGGAAGGAGAGAGAAGTGGGGGGAGGATATTTGCATAGGAATTATTTCAGTTCTCATTCTCTTGCCCTAGTATGTTTGATAATAAATTCAATTAATTTCCCCAAGTCAAGTGTGAGAGGAATGATGGATTTTGTCCTTACAAACAGGCTGTGGGTCTGCTGGTAGATCAAACCAGCACTGAGAGATAAAAGAAACAATGGGAAAGATTCCACTGATTGATGAACGGGAAAAGATATTTGCTTTTACAAACAAACTTTAGGTTTGCTGATAAATGAAATTGAACATTGAAAGGTGAAAGAAACAATGAGGGAAAACCCTAAATTCCATAAGAATTAAAAATTAAAAGGGAGGGTTATACATTAAAGGGAAATCTTCAGTATCGGGCGTATCGGGAAGCCTGAACCTCTCACGTACCTCAGCCAATGGGGAAAGAGAGAAGGGAAATGCGGCCGGGAAACTGGGATAAAAAGGGAGGCTGCGTCCTCCAAAAACTGGAGAGACCCCAGGGGAATGCCCCATGGCCTCTCCCTCTATTCGAATAAAGTAAAAGGACTCCTCTGTCTCCTTTTTGAACATAAACCTCTGATGTTTGTGGATTAATTTTCCTGACAAGTGTGTTGCGCCCGTCACCAGTGATTGAACTGTTCCAACCCTTACCCAGACCCTCGAGCCTTTCCTTACGTGCTCTGTTCCCTGCCCAGGGGGAGGAGGGAAGTGACAGAAAGGTTTTGGCGTCTCTCCAGCATCCCCGGCTCCGGCCGGGGCTGCAGGTGGGTCCCTCTTCCGTCCCGCACTCACCCCAGCTCCCAGCGCCCTCAGGGCCCGGTCACGCCGGGCTCCCGGCGGTTCGGGGCAGCAGCAGCGGCTCCTTCGCCTCCTGCCCGGGCCGGGCCCCGCGCCAGCGCCGCTCCTCAGCCGCGGCTGCCGGGAAATGCCGGGAGTTCGGGGAAAGGGAGACGAGGCAGTGCCGTGTGCAGAGCCCGCCCCTCGCTGCGATTGGCTGATTCTGCCATCACTCCGCGATCTGGCCGCTGATTGGTCAGAGTCGGGCTAAGCACGGCCCCCGGTGCCGCCCTGAGGGCGCCCCTGGCTCGGCAGAGCCGCCATTATCGGAGCGTCCGTGCGGGCCCGGGAGGGGCGGCAGCGGCCGGAGCCTGATGAGGTGGCGGCGGAGCTCGGAGGCGGCCCCAGCGCAGCCTCCGGGGACGGGGCAGCCCCCTCTGTCCCAGCCACAGGAACCGGGCCGAGCCAGCGCTGCTCCGGCAGCGGCTCCTGCCGAGGCAGCGGCCGCAAGGAGACCGCGGGCAGCCGCTCCCGCAGCGCCCTCACGCCAGCGGCAACACGCGCCGGACACGGCACAAGGAACCCGCCTGAGCCCCCTGCCGCCCCCGAGGCCCGCAGCGAGCCCCGAGCCCCCGCACAACCCAGCGCGGCTCCCACCTGCGCTGCGGCCGCCTCCCAGCTCCGCCGCCGCCTCCTCACCGGTGGGTCCCTGGATGATCCGGTCACTCCCAGTATGTTCCAAATCGCTCCCGGTAGGATCCCAATTGCCCCCGACACGGTCCGAGTGGCTCCCAGTCATGCCCTGTATGATTCCTTTCAGTAAGAGAGCCCAGTGTGGCCCCAGTCACCTCCAGTATGAGCCCAGTCACACCTTACCCGATGCCATTTGCCCCTGCTGTGGTCCCAGTTGCTCCCAGTATAAGTCCAGTCACCTCCAGTACGATCCCAGTTACTCCCAGTACTATGCCAGTCATTCCAAGTGTGACCCCATCAGTCCCAGTATGATCCCAGTATGACCCCAGCATGGGCCAGCTGCTCCCAGTATGATCCCAGTTGCTCCCTGCATTATTCCAGTTTCTCCTCTTTGCCCTTACTACAGATCTGATCACTCCCAGTATGATTCCAGTCAGTCCCAGGATGATCCAAACCATTCCCAGTCCCTCCCAGTATATCTCAATTGTCTCCTGCATGCTCCCAGTAGCCCTCAGTGTGGTCCCAGTATATCCCAGTATGACCCCTGGTGCCCCAGTTCTGCTCCCAGTGGGTTCTTTTCCCAGTCTCTCCCAGTCCCTCCCCAGCAGCTGCTGCCGTTTCCCAGATCCTGCCCCCCCCCCCCCCCCCCCCCCCCCATTCCCGGGCACTGGGACCCCCCTGTACCCCCTTATCCTGCACCAACACCCCCTGTACCCCCTTATCCTGCACCAACACCCCCTGCACCCCCTTTCCCGGGTATCCTCCTCTCCCAGCCCCTGGATCCCCCGTTTCCGTGACCCTGGGGACCCCCGGGCCCCCATTCCTGGCCAGCCCAGGGCACCTCAGCCCCAGCCTCCCTTTGCTGGGAAACCCGGCCTGGGCACGGGGCTCTGCGGCCGCTCTGGGATTTATGGTCCCCCAGAAGAAAGGGAGAGAACAGCAGAGAGAGAGAGAGAGAGAGAGAGAGAGAGAGAAAGGACTTACATTTCCAGGCACCGGGAACCCCCTAAACCTCCATTCCTAGGCAGAGAACATTTTGGGTCCTGTGACCCCTCTCAGTCCCCTTACCCAGCACTGAGACCCCCCCTGAACCCCCATTCCTGACCACGGGGACCCCCTTGAGCGCCCATTTCCGCCCACCCCGACCCCCCTGTACCCTCTTCGGCAGCATCAGAACCCCCCTGAACGCCCTTTTCTGGTCATCGGCGCCCCTGGAACCACCATTCCTGATATTGGGACCCCCTCGAACCCCGAATTCCGGGAAGGAAACTCCCCTGAACCCGCATTCCCGGGCACAGGAACCCCCATTTCCGGGCACCGGGATTCCCCTGCACCCCCTAATCCAGGAATGGGACCCCCCCCGCACCCCCGTCAGTGCTCTGGGACCCCCTGCACCCCCATTCCCGGCCATCCCGCCCTTCCCAGACCCCAGACCCGGCCTTTTCCTCGGCTTTTGCACCCCCGATCTTCCAAATTTCTGCATCTCCCCCGTTCTCCATTCCCGGCGCTTCCTGGAAGGGGTTCCAGGAGGTCCTGGAGGGTCCCCCGGGGTCCCAGCGAGGATCCAGTGGGATCCAGATGAATTGCCTGGAATTCCCCTTTTCCCCGTCTCGCTTTCCCCAGCACCGGATCCCAGCCAGGCCATTATCTGGCACCAGGACCCCCCTAAACCCCGATTCCCGGGAAGGGACTCCCCCTGGGAGAGTCCACTTCCAGAGATCCCCATTGCATCCCCTTATGCAGCATCAGGACCCCCTGAACCCCCATTCCGCTGCACCAGGACCCCCGTGCACCCCCATATCCATGACTGGAACCCTCCCAAACCCTCCATTCTCAGGGACAGGGACCCCCCCTGCAGCCCCTTATCAAGCCCAGGGATCCCCCTGCACCCCCTTTCCCGGCCCTCCCCCTCTCAGAGACCCCAGCCCCCGCTTTTCCTTGACCCCAGCACCCCCTGCACCCCCACTCCTGCCTTCCCCAGCCCCCACCCACCACCTTCCTCAACACCGGGGGCCCGTGCACCCCCTTTCCTGGGCACAGGGACCCCCTGCACCCCCCATTGCCCTCACCCTCCTTCCTTTGACCTGGGACCCCCTGAATCACCGTTCCTGGGCATGGAGACCCCCCTGCACCCCTGATCCGGGACTGGGACCCCTCCTGGACCCTCCTCACGTGTTCTGGGACCCCCTGCACCCCTCCCCGCCCCTCCCGCCCTTCCCAGACCCCAGACCCGCCCTTTTCCTTCACCTTTGCACCCCCAGATCTCCCAAATTTCCGGGTCCCCCCAGTTCTCCATTCCCGGCGCTTTCTTAAAGGGGGGTCCCAGGGGTCCCAGGTGGTTCTCAGAGGGCACCAGGGCAGTCGCAGCGGGGATCCAGAGGGATCCTGAAGGATTCTCTGGAATTCCCCCGTCCCCTCCTCTTCCCCGCCCTCCTCGGTCCCTTTCGCTTCCGCGTCCCAACCTGCGAGACCTGGATCTGCCCGGCGACCGGTGACGTCACTAACAGATCGTGCTTCCATTGGCGGGCAGGAAATAGCAGCGCCAATGGCGGGGCCGGAGGCTGCTTTGAGGGCGGGGCCAGGGCTGTGGGCGGGACCGCAGCGGAGCAGCGCCATGGCTCCGGCGCTGGGTCTGGGGCTGCTCTTGGGGCTCCTGGGGCTCCTGGTGGACCCGGGGGGCGCGACCAAAGGTGAGTGGGAAACCCGGAACCGGGAAGGAAACCCCCTGAATCGCAATTCCGGGGCACCGGGACCCTCCTGAACTTCTATTACCGGGCATGGAAACCTCCCATAGCCCCATTTTGGGTCCTGTGACCCCCCTCCATCCCCTTCCCCAGCAACGGGACCTCCCTGTACCCCCTCGTCTGGCACCGGGACCCCCCCTACCCCCATTCCTGGGCAGGGAAACCCCCCTGAACCGCCATTCCCGGGCATGAGAATCCACTGAGCCCCCATTCCTGAGCATGGGGACCCCTTGAGCGCCCATTTCTGGGCACAGGGACCCCCCTGTACCCCCTTCCCCAGCACCGAGACCCCCTGAATCGCCATTTACGGGCACTGGGGCCCACTTGAACACCGAATTCTGGGAAGAGAATCACCTGAACCCCCATTTCTGGGCACGGGGACCCTCATGAACGTTCATTTCCTGGTAGTGGGACCCCCCTATACCCCCTTATCTGGCCCCGGGACCCACTGAATCTCCCATTTCTGGGGATCAGGATCTCTTTGAATCCTGAACTGAGGCACGGGAACCCCCCTGCACCCCCTTATCCAGGACTGGGATCCCCCCTCACCCCTGTCAGTGCTCCGGGACCCCCTGTCCCCCTTTTTGGGCATCCTGGTTTTCCCAGATCCCAAACCCTTTGGACCTTTTCCTTGACCTTTGGACCCCCCAGATCTCCCAGCTTTGTTTCCTCCCCATTTTCCACTCCCACTGCTTCCCGAAGCGGGATCCCAGAGGGTCCCAGGGGGGTTGCAGCGGATCCAGATGAGCTCCCTGAAATTCCCCCATCCCCTCCTCCCTGCGTTCCCCCGGTCTCTTTCCCGTCTCCGAAGCTGCGTCCCTGGGATCCGCCTGCCTCTCCCAGCCCCAGAATCCCCTTTCCGTGACCCAGGGACCCCCTGGAGCCCCATTCCTGCCTTTCCCAGCTCCCAGACCCCACTGCCCTCAACACCGGGGACCCCTGGATCCCCTTTAGTGGGTGCAGGGACCCCCTGGATCCCCCATCCCGCCTCTCACAATCCCTTCCTTGAACCTTGAACCCTTCCTGGCTCTCCTGGTTCCGCTTCCCGACCCTTGGACACCCCCAGACCCCCCAGGCTCTGCGTCCCTCCAGTTCTCCATCCCCTGTGCATTCGGTGGGGAGGTCCCAGGAAGTCCAGGAGGGTCCCAGGGGGGATTCTGGGCCCCAGGACCCCCCTGAATTTTCAGTTCTGGGCACTGGGACCTCCCTGCACCCTCTTATCCAGTACCAATTCCCCCCTGCACCCCCTTTCCCGTCCATCCCGCCTTCCCCAGACCCCTCTTTGTCTCTGAGACCCCCTGGACCCCCATTCCTGCTTTTCTCAGCCCCCAGCTCCTCATTTCCTCTGCATCAAGGACCCCTAAGCCTCCCATTCCCTGGTCTCCCCACCTTGTGACCCCTTTCCTTGGCACTGGGGACCCCTGAACCCCCCATCCTGCCTCTCCCAGCCCCTGTATCCCCCTTTCCTGGGCACGGGATCCCCTGGAACCCCCATCCCACTTCTCCCAGTCCCTGCACCCCTCACCCCTTCCATAACCCTGGAACCCCCTGAGCCCCCATTCCTGGACACCAGGACCCCCTGCAAGCCCTTTCCTGTTCATCCCACCTCTCCCACCCTGTACACCCTTTCCTTGGCCCCAGGATCCCCAAACCCCTTCCCAGCTCTCCCAGTTCCCCTTTCATTGATCCGTGATCTCCTCAATCCCCCCAAATCTCCGTGTCCCCCCAGTTCTCCACTCCCTGCGTTACCTGAATGTGGCGGTGTCAGAGCCCAGCGCGGGGATCCCCCAGTTCATGGATATTGGATTCGTGGATGGGATCCCCTTCATGCGCTTCGACAGCGAGCGGGGCCGGGCAGAGCCGCTGACACAGTGGATGAAGGATGGAATCGAGCTGGAATATTGGGATAGGGAGACCCAGATTGCTGAGGGGAACCAGCACGTGTATGCCAGGAACCTGGAGATACTGCGGGAGCGATACAACCAGAGCAGGGGTGAGTGGGGGGATCTGTGGGGCTGGGATGGGATCTGTGGGGTTGGGATGGGAACTGTAGAGCTGGGGTGAGGATCCATGGGGCTGGAATGGGAACTATAGGTCTTAGATGTGGATTCACAAGGCTCCAAGGGGCTGAAAATGGGGATCCATTAGGTTGGGATGGGATATTTTGTGATCCATGGGCTGGGATATGGATCCATGGAGCTGGGATGGGATCTGTGGGGCTGGGATGGGATCTGTGGGGCTGGGAAAGGAACTGTAGGGCTGAGATGGGGATCCATGGAGCTGGGACAGGATCTGTAGGTCTCAGGTGTAGATTCACAGGGCTCCAAGGGGCTGAAATGGGGATCCATTAGGCTGGGATGGGATAGCTTGTGATCCATGGGACTGGGATGGGATCTGTGGGGACAGGTTGGGATTCATGGGGTTGGGATGTGGATCCATGGGGCTGGGATGGGATCTGTAGGGCTGGAATGGGATCTGTGGGGCTGGGATTGGATCCATGGGGCTGGGGGGAGGATATTTGCGTAGGAATTATTTCAGTTCTCATTCTCTTGCCCTAGTATGTTTGATAATAAATTCAATTAATTTTCCCAAGTCAAGTGTGAGAAGAATGATGGATTTTGTCCTTACAAACAGGCTGTGGGTCTGCTGGTAGATCAAACCAGCACTGAGAGATAAAAGAAACAATGGGAAAGATTCCACTGATTGATGAACGGGAAAAGATATTTGCTTTTACAAACAAACTTTAGGTTTGCTGATAAATGAAATTGAACATTGAAAGGTGAAAGAAACAATGAGGGAAAACCCTAAATTCCATAAGAATTAAAAATTAAAAGGGAGGGAAATCATGGGGCTGAGATGGGATCTGTAGGTCTCAGGTGTGGACTTACAGGGCTCCAAGGGGGTGAAATGAGAGTTCATTAGACTGGGGTAGAATATCTCGTGATCCATGGGTTGGGATTGGATTCATGGAGCTGGGATGGGATCTGTGGGGCTGGGTTGGGATCCATACGGCTGGGATGTGCATCCATGGGGCTCCAAGGGGCTGAGATGAGGCTCTGTGGGTCTCCATCAGACTCTGGGGCTCTGTGGGGCTGGGACACAATTCCATGGGTCTCTGTGGGTACAATCCCCCCAGGTCTCCACACACTGCTGTGGGTTTACGGCTGTGACCTCCTGTCCGATGGGAGTGTCCATGGATCCCGCCGGAATGGCTACGATGGGCGGGATTTCATCTCTTTTGACCTGGAATCCAGGAGATTTGTGCCAGCCGACAGCGCTGCTGAGATCACCAGGAGGCGCTGGGAACAGGAAGGGACCATGGCTGAGGATTGGACGAATTACCTGAAGCACGAATGCCCAGAAGAGCTCCAGAGATTCATTGGATATGGGCAGAAGGAGCTGGAGCGCAAAGGTGGGAGCAGCATTCCTGTGAGGGATTTGGGAATGGAGAACCTGAGAAATGGGAATTCCTGTGGGAATTCCATGGGCAGATCTCATCTCCATCCCATTCCTGTTGGAATTCCATGGGTAGAGCTCACCCAATCCCATTCCTAGGGAATTCCATGGTCAGATCTCACCCCAGACCCATTCCAGTGGGAATTCTATGGATGTCCATTACCATTATTCCATTCCAGAGCCCCCTGATGTCCATGTGTCCGGAAGAGAGGAACACGGGACGCTGATCCTGTCCTGCCACGTGTACGGATTCTACCCCAACACCATCGCAGTCAGCTGGATGAAGGGGGGTGAAACCTTGGATCAGGAGACGGAGTGGGGCGGGATCGTTCCCAACAGCGACGGCACCTTCCACACCTGGGCCAGGATCGAGGCGCTGCCGGAGGAGCGGGAGCAGTACCGGTGCAGGGTGGAGCATCCCGGAATGCCAGAGCCCGGGATCTTCGCTTGGGGTGAGGCTGGGAATGTGGGGATTGGGAATTTGGAATTCCTAAATGGGGATTCCCCTCCCTCTCCTCACTATCCCGCGTTTCCCAGAGCCGACATCTGGCGGGAATCTCTTCATGGTGGTTGCTGTGTCTGTCATCGCTGCCATCCTCATCCTCATCTTCATCGGATTCGGCGTCTGGAAGCTCCAATCCGGTAACACACGGGATGGGGGTCGGGAAGGGACACGGATCCACCCAGCACCGTTCTGGGAATCCTGTGCCACCAATTCTGATCCCACTTTGTTTCCACAGGGAGGAGGGACAGGAATGGATACAACCCAGCAGCCGGTGAGTTCCAATGGCGGATCCAGCTCTGGATCCCCTCTGTGTGGATCCCAGGATGGATCTTGGGGTTAATCCCAGTGTGTGATCCGTGCTGGAATCTCATGGATCTTCTCTTTCTGCAGGAAAAGATGTGGGAACCAATGGCTTGAGCACAGGTACGGAGCAGGATCAGGGTGGGATCCCAGAGGGGGATCAGGGCAGGATGGATGGACTGGGATCAGGGAGGGATTCTGGATCAGAGCAGGGTCCAGAATGGGATCAGGTGGAATTGTAGAGCGGGATTTGGGCTGGATTCTGGAGCAGGATCAGGAGGGATGGAATGGAGCAGGATCTGGTTGGGGTTCCAGAGAATGACTGGGGCAGGATGGATGGGGCGGAATGCGGTGGGATGGATGGAGCAGGGTTGGGGCAGAATGGATGGAGTGGGAGCAGGATTGCAGCAGGATTGGGGTGGGATCATGTGGGATTCTGGAGCAGCTCCTGCTCTCCATGGGCTCCAGCCAGGTCCATCCTGTGGAATGGGGACAGGGTGACACCATGACCCTCTCTCATCCTGGCAGGAATCACTGCCTGAGCGATCCATGGAGCTGGATCCTGCCCCTTCCCTCTTCCCCGGAAAGCCGAGAGCTGCCAGCAGAGCTCATCCCACTGCTCCCACCCACCCCCGCAGCTCTTGCTAACAGATCCATTTCCCATTTTCCACTGTCATAAAGGCAAGAACCACAAATATTCATAATGCTTCACTTCTGGTGTGAAATTATCCTGCTTTGGGCAATAAATCCTGCTTGGGGCAATAAATCCGGGTTCCCTCCTCCAGTGTCTGGCAGTTCATCTCTGGGAGCCAGGAATAGGAATGGGGTCACTGGGACAGAGATGGAGACACTGGGAGCAGGGTGGGGACACCAGGAGCAGGATGGGGACATGCCAGCCATGCTCCATCCCCCTGGATTCATTTCCCACTCCATGTCCCATGTCTGAGGTGTCCCCAGGAGGGTTTGGCTGCGTTGGGCTCCTAGAGGGCCAGTGCCAGGCCTCGTTGTCCCCAGTGGTCCTTGAGTGTCCCAAACTCAGGGTTCAGGATCTTGGAGAGGTTCTCTGGCCATGGCCATGGCCATGACACAAGCACGAGATGGCCATGAGATGAGAATGACCATGAGTGACACAACCCTGAGATGACCATGACCATGGGATGACCATGACTGTGACCATGACCATGACAGAACCACAACCCTGACCATGAGATGATTTGGACCAAGAGATGATCATTGGTTGGCCATGGCACAACCACAGCCTTGAGGTGACCCTGACATGATCATGGCCATGAGGTGACAATGAAGTGACAATGTCATGATTGTGAGATGACCATTACAGTGAGATGACCCTGAGCATGAGATGATGGTGATCAGCAAATGACCATGACCATGTGAAGGCCATGAGATTACTGTGACCATGAGATGATCACCACCATATGGCCCAACCACAGCTGAGAGATGACCATGATAAGATTGTGGCAAATGAGTTGAACGTGAGATGATCATAAAATGACCATGACACAACCAGGACCATGGGATGACCATTACAATGAGATGACCATGACTGTGAGATGACCATGAGCATGAGATGATTGTGACCAAGAGATGACCATGAGATGATCGGAACACACCATGGCCATGTGTGATCATGGTCATGACACGACTGTGAGATGACCATTACAGTGAGATAACCATGAGAATACTGTGATGGTCATCAGGAAATGACCATCACCATGAGATGGCCATGAGATGACTGTGACCATGACACAACCATGATCATAAGATGACCACTACAGTGAGATACAACTGTGACCATGAGATCACCGTGACCATGAGATTGTAGTGATCAAGACATGACCACAATGCAACCATGGCCATGTGGCGATCAAGGCCATGAGATCACCTTGACTGTGACCATAATACAACCACAACCATGAAATGATCAAGATCATGACAAGATTCAAGAGCTGACCAAGAGATAACCATGACCATGACACAACCACAGATGTAAGATGACCATGATGTGATTGTGGCCATGAGTTGACCATGAGGTAACAATGAGATGACCATGACATGGCTGTGAGATGACCATGACATGACTGTGAGCATGTGATAACTGTGACCAAAGACCATGAAATGACCACAACACATCATGGCCATGTGGTGATCAAGGCCATGAGACAATTGTGAGATGACCACAATCATGACATGATTATGACCATGAGATGATCGTTACAATGAGATGACCATGACCATGGAATAACCATGACTGTGACACAACCATTGCTTTGATGATGTAATTGTGACCATGAGATGACCATGAGATGATCATGACTAAATTATGGCCATGGGGTGATCAAGACCATGAGCTGACCTTGACCATGCAATGACCATGATACAACCATGACCTTGAGATGACCATTACAGTGAGATGACAGTGAGCATGAGATGATGGTGATCAGGAGATGACCATGCAATGATCATGACACAACCGTGAGCATGAGATGTTTGAGATTAGGAGATTAACACAATATAACCATGTCTATGAAATTATTGTGGCCACAGGTGACCACAACCATGAGATAATGGTGATAAAGAGATTATTATGACCACAAGATGACCATGACCACGAGATGACCATGACCATAACCATGATACTAATTTGACAGAACTATGATCATGACTGTGACCATGACCATGAGATGATGGTAATCAGGAATGATATGAGCATTATGGTGAGTTGACTATGAGCATGAGATGATGGTGATCAGGAATTGACCATAACCATCATGGTGACACCATGACTGTGATGGTGACACGACTACAACTGTGACATGACCATGAGCATGACATATTGAGACCAAGAGATGACCATGAGATGACCATGACTATGACCATGACACAACCATGGCCATAAGGTAATGAAGAAATGTCCATGACTGTGACCATGACATAACAATGACTCTGAGATGACCATGGCCGTGGGGAATTGTGACCAAGAAATGACCACAACATGACCATGACCATAACATGATCCTGACCATGAGATGACCATGAGCATGAGATGATTCTGACCATGACACAATTGCGGCCATGAGATGACCATGATACAATTATGGCCATGAGCTGACCATGAGATGACCACGACCCGGCCATGGTCTGGAGCTCCCCAGACCCCGTCACTGCCCTCACCCCCAGGTTCATCCTTTACTGAAATTGTTCATTTCCCATGGAAAATACGGAAATCTGAGCAGGGCGCAGCCAATGGAGCGCCGGGAAATCAGGGATGTCACAGGTTGCCAGGCAGAGCAGATTTCCCCTACCCGCCCTTGGCGCGGCAGCCAATGGGAAACCGCGTGTTTGGTGACGTCACCGCGCTAATGCGGAAGTGGCGAGCGCGGGGGCTGCCGGGATCGGGGCGGCGGTCGCGGATCGCGATTGATCCCGATTGGTTCCGATCGATCCCGACTGATCCCCATCGATCCCCATCGGCTCCCATCGATCCGCGGCCTTTCCCCGCCGCGATGTTCTTCACCTGCGGCCCCAACGAGGCCATGGTGGTGTCGGGTGAGTTCGGGGGGCCCGGGGGCTCCTGGTGACCCTCAGAACTCCTGGGAACCCCCAAATCCCCTCAGAATTACCCGGGAACCCCCAGAATTCCCCCCAAAACTCCCGGGAACCCCCAGAATCTCTCCCCTCAAAATCTCCTGGGAACCCCCAAAATCCTCCCAAAACCCTCCAAGGAACCCCCAGAATTATCCCCAAAACTCCTGGGAACCCCCCCCGGACCCCCAAACTCACCCTGGGACTCATTGGACCGGACCCCTCCTTAGCCCCCAAACCCCTCCTGGGACCCCCCAAACCCCTCCCCGAGGGCCCCCCCCATCCATTCTGCCCCACCCCGGGACTCCTGGGGACTCCCCCCAAATTTTCCTCCAGATTTTCCCCCCAAATTCCCCTCTTCAAAACTCCTCAGGTCCCCCCTGACCACCCCAACCCCCTCCAAGCCCTTCCTGGGACCCCCCGAAACCCGTTCCGGGGATTCCTGAGGGTGTCCCCGTTTCCCCCCGAGGTTTTGGGGTAGCCCCGGGGTTTAGGGTCCTCCCCAGCTCTCGGTGCCCCCCAGGTTTCTGCCGCAGCCCCCCGGTGATGGTGGCCGGGGGCCGGGTGTTGGTGATCCCATGCCTGCAGCAGATCCAGCGGCGAGGAGGGGCCCGGGGGGGTTTTTTGGGGTTCGGGGTAGGGGGGGGTTCCCCAGAGATTTGGGGTGATCTCCCCGGCCTCCCCAGGATCTCCCTGAACACGCTGACGCTGCCTGTGCGCAGTGAGAAGGTTTACACCCGCCACGGGGTGCCCATCTCCGTCACCGGCATCGCACAGGTACCCCTGGAACGACCCGAAAACACCCCGAAAATACCCCAAAAATACCCTCATGGACCCCAGAAAATCCCCCATCAGAACTGCCAAAAATCCCCAAAAATCCCCCAAAATCCCCTCCTGGACCTCCCAAAACAGCACAACCCCCCCCTCAAAAATCCCAACCCCCCCCCCAGAAAACGCTCCAGAAATCCCCCCAGAATTGCTTTTTGTGCTCCCAAAAATCCCCTCCTGGACTGCCAAAAATACCCTAAAAATCCCCCCAAAAGTCCCTTCCTTGACCCCCAAAACCCCCTAAAAAATCTCCCATCAAAATCCCAGAAATCCCCTCCTGGACACCCCAAAATCCCCCCTCGGAATCCCCGAAAATACACTCATGATCCCCCAAAATCCTTCCCGGGATCCCCAAAATGCCCCTCGGTACCTGCAGCCCTCCCCAGACCCCAACAGCCCACTGGGACCCCAACAACCCCATTCAGAGCCCCCAGAAATCCACTCAGAACCCCCAAAATCTCTTTGGGAACCCTCAAAATTCCCCTCTGGAACCCCCAAAATCCCTCCCCCAAATCCCCCCAGAATCCCCAAATATCCCACGCGGGTACCCCCAAAACCCCTTCGGGACCCCCAAACCGACACTCTGATACCCCGAAATCTCCTTAGAACCTCCCAAAAATCCTCCGGGACCCCCCAAACCCCCCCCCGGGGCTCCCCTGCCCGAACCAACCGGGGTGGCATGGCCCTTTTAAGTGAGGTTCTTGTGGGGCCCACCTAAGGGCATTCTTAAAGCGGCGATGGTAGCGGGAAGCGCAAAAGAACTCGGGGGAGGAAGGAGCCCTTTAAAGGGGGTTTGGAGTGATGGGGCCCACCGGAAACATTTGCAGGGGTTAAAAACGCTCCCAGAAGGGGCATTTAGGGGTGAGGAATCCCTTGAAAGGAGCTCGAAGTTTTGGGGATCCCCAAACCCCTGGGATTAGAGGGGTAATCCTATTTAAAAGGGGCTTGGAGTGGTGGGGACCCAAAAATTTCTTAAGAGGAGAAAAAACCCTTTAAAAATCCTTTCAAAAAACCTTAAAAAACATTTAAACTCCCTTTAAAGCCTTTATCAAAACCGTAAAAAATAAAAAAGGTTTGTCATGGGGAAGCCTTCCTAAACCCTTCTTAAAGGGGTCAAAGTCCAATCCTTAAAGTGGTTCTGGGTGGTGGGGACACCAAAATCCCACTGGAGGGTCTTGACCTCCCTTAAAAGGAGTTTTTGGTGGTGGGGACCCCTTTAAGAGGGCTAAGACCTCCCCAGAAATGGGCTGGGATTGGTGTGGATCCCCAAGCTCTCTCAAAGTGCATTATACTCTATAAAGGGCGCTACCCTGGTGGTCCCCACCCTATCGATCAAACTTCAAAAGGCAATGCCACACCTACCCCTGAAAGGGGCCATGCCAATTTTGGGGGGTCCCAGGGGTGGCTGGGGGGGTCCCCAGGTGATCCCACTCCCCCACAGGTGAAGATCCAGGGGCAGAACAAGGAGATGCTGGCAGCTGCCTGCCAGATGTTCCTGGGCAAGTCGGAGAGCGAGATCGGCCAGATCGCCCTGGAGACGCTGGAGGGCCACCAGCGCGCCATCATGGCCCACATGACTGTGGAGGTGGGGCTGGGGGAAGCCACGCCCTCTTCGGGGAAGCCACGCCCCTCCCAGGACAGACACACCCATTTGGGATCCAACCAATGCCCCCCATTTGGGATGGGACAAGGCCCCTTTAAGAAATCCCAGATCTCAGAAGCCACGCCCCCATTGTGCCAACCTGGATTGACTCACCCCCTCAGGGGAAGTTGCCATCTCCCCGTGGGCTGGGATGTGGCTCTTTAAGAGACTTCTCCCCCTTTTGACCCATAAGCTCCACCCCTTGAAAGCCCCCACCCCTGGAGGAGGCCACACCCCCTGTAAAGCCACACCCACAATATGTCACCCTTTTGCTAAAGCCCTGCCCACCAGCCCAAGATCCTCCTTCCCTCTAAAGCCATGCCCACTCCTGCCTGACACCTCCCTAAGCCCCGCCTCCCTTCTTGACCCTGCCCAGTATAAGCCCCACCCTGCCTCAAAGCCACACCCACCAGACTCCACCCCATGACTCGAGCCATGCCCCTGCATCAAGTCATGTCCCTGCCTTAATCGTGACCCCACCCCTCAATTTAGGTCACGCCCACTTTGCTCAAGCCACATCCCACCTTAAACCTGATCTCTTTCTGCTTAAACCACACCCACGGAACCAAACCACGCCCCTAAGATCAAAGCCACACCCCCAGATAGCACTTCACCTACCTGGCACCACCCATTATCTCAAGCCATGCCCCCTGGCTAAACCACGCCCACCATCCCTGTGCCTTTTCTCTGCTAAGCCCCACCCCAATAAGCCTGGCCCAATTTAAACTCCATTCCCTTGTCCCCCCCCCCTCGCTAAGCCCAGGCCCACGAAGCTTCACCCCTGCCCTGCAATGTCCCACCCTATTTGAGCCCCACCCTGCTAAGCCCCACCTACTTGATCCCCACCCCTCTAAGCTCCCCCCCTTTGAGCCCTGCTCTGTTGAGCCCTGCCTAATTTGAGCCCCACCCTACTAAGCCTTGCCCCTTTTAGCCCCACCCCACTGAGCCCTGCCCAACTTAAACCCCACTCTTGGGCCCTGTCCAGCCAAGCCCCACCCCCATTTGAGCCCCGCCCTGCTAAGCCCCACCCCGGCCCCGCCCAGGAGATCTACAAGGACCGGCAGAAGTTCTCGGATCAGGTTTTCCGCGTGGCCTCCTCTGACCTGGTGAACATGGGCATCTCCGTGGTCAGCTACACCCTCAAGGACGTGCACAACGAGCAGGTGATGCACCTGGGCATGGCTGGGGACAGCTGGGGACACATCTGGGGACACCTGGCATACCTGGGGACAGCCAGGATACACCTTGGATACACCTGGGAGCAGCTGGGGAGAGCTGGGACACACCTGGGGGGGCAGCTGGAGACACCTGGGCACACCTGGGACACACCTGGGACATAACTGAGACGCTCAGGACACACCTGGGACACACTTGGAGATGCCCAGGGACAAGATAGGGACAAGATGGGGACACCTGGGCACAGCTGGGACAGCTGGGGGAGGCTAATACACACCTGGGATACATCTGGGGGGATGGGGTGACACAGGTGTGACACAGGTGTGACAGGGAGGTGACAGGGGTGTGACATAGGTGATAGGGAGGTGACACAGGTGTGACAGGTGTGTCTCCATGCAGGGTTACCTGCACTCCCTTGAAAAGGGCTGCACAGCGCAGGTGCAGGGGTGACACAGATGGGGACTCAGGAGTGACAGGGAAGAGACACAGGTGTGGCATGGGTGACAGGGAGGTGGCACAAGTGTGACAGGTGTGTCCCTGTGCAGGATTACCTGCGCTCCCTCGGGAAGGGCCGCACGGCGCAGGTGCAGCGCGACGCCCGCGTGGGAGAGGCCGAGGCCAAACACGACGCCGGGATCCGCGTGAGTGACACCGGGGACACCTGGATGGGGATGTTGGGGACACCCCTGGAGACACACCTGGGGGCAGCTGGGTCACCTTCCTGTCAGTCACCCCCCACTATTCCCAGTGCCCTCCAGCGCTCTCCCTGTGGGTCCCAGTTCATCCCAGTGCTCCCAGTATCCCTGACAGTCCCAGTACCCCGTTCCCCAGTGCCCTCCCAATGCCGTTCATTTCCCATTCCAGTCTGTCCCAGTCCCTCCCAGTGTCCCCAGTACCCCCAGTACTCTCCCAATACCCCACTAATCCCACTCCAGCACCTCCCAGTTCTTGTCCAGCTCCTCCCAGTACCCTCAGTACCCCAGTCCCTCCCAAGTGCTCCCAGTGCCTTTCTAGTCCCGTTCCAGTTCCTCCCAGTCTCTCCCAGTCTCTCCCAGTACCCCCATTCCCCAACTGCCCCAACACCCCCCGTACACCCAGTGCTCCCAGTACCCCATTCCCCAGTCCTTCCCAGTCCCATCCCTGTGCTCTCCCAGTCCCTCCCAGTCCCTCCCAGTGCCGCTGTCCCCACAGGAGGCGCAGGCGCGGCAGGAGCAGGTGTCGGCGCAGCTGCTGAGCGAGGAGGCCACGGCGCGAGCCCAGCGCGACTTCCAGGTGGCCCAGGCTGAGTGTGATGGAGCCGTCAGCGCCCGCAGGGCCACGGCTGAGCTGGCCTTCCAGCTGCAGGTGAGGCCACACCTGGACAGGGAACACAGCTGGGACAGGGAGCAAACACACCTGGGACAGGTAACACTTGGGAGTGTCACAGGGCCATGGCCTATCTGGTGTTTCAGTTACAGGTAACTCACACATCTGGGGATAGGTAGCAAACACACCTGGGGGGGCTGGAATGGGGCCTGGGAGCTCACCTGGAGCACATGGAACCTTCCAGAACTCCTGGAACCTCCAAATGCTGGGGTTTTCTCCCAAATTTGGGTCTCTTGGGTCACCTGAGGACGCCCCCAGGCTGCCTGAGCTCCCCCTAGAGATACCTGGCTCCCCCTGCCTGGTGTCATCACATTCCCTGTGATCCATGTTGGGAACACCCCTGGCTGCTTCTCCTTTTGGTTTGGCCTTAATTTTCCTCTGCTTCACCTTCATTCTTTAAAAACACCCCAAACTGGGTTAAATGAAGGAAATTGATTGAATATATCTGCAGTTCCACAATTTCTCAGTTGTTTTAGAGGGAATTCAGGATTTGGGGACAGGTTCTTTGTGGAGTGCTGCTGTTACTAAGAGGCAGGAATTTGATCTCACCCTTCTTATGTTGCTAAGAGCTCCTCCCCTGACCCAAACCCCAACTCCACCCTTGGATACCCTATAAAAACTCCATGGCCCTGCCTTTGCCCTGTCTTTGGGGGGTAAGAAATGGATTCCCAAAGGATCAGCCATTTTCCCACTGGATTCCCAGAGGATCAGCCCTTTTCTCACTGGATTCCTAATGGATCAGCCTCATTCTCTACTGGATTCCCAGAGGACTCTGACTCTGTCACTTTTTCTTTTGTTTGTACTACTGCATTTGTATTTTTAATTTTTCTTAATAAAGAACTGTTATTTTTACTCCCATATCTTTGCCTGAGAGCCTCTTAATTTCAAAATTAATTATAATTTTTATAGTTGTTTATTCTTATTGATGATGATAATAATAATAATAATAATTTTTTTTTTCAAAGGGAGGGAGATTACATTTTCCATTTCAGTGGAGGCTCCTGAAATGAGGAGACACCCCCAAGGACGGGCCATGTGAAATAGTTCCTGAAATATGTAAATGAGTTTATGGATATGCATGAGGGTCTATGAATATGCCACAGGCTGATGGAATTAAAACCAGATTAATATAAGGGGTGTCCCTGAAAATAATTGGGGGGTCTTGGTGGACATAACAACCTTTGCTCGATGGTCCTTGTCTCCCATGACATCAGCCTGTTGCATATTCATAGACCCTCATGCATATCCATAAACTACTTTTCATATTCCAGGAACAAAATTGGCTTCTTCTTGTTTGGGGGTCCCACCCCCCTCCCAGCTCAGTTTTGGGATCCCATACCCCTCCCAGCTTAATTTGGGTGTCCCATTCCCCTCCCAGCTCAATTTTGGGGTCCCACCCCCCTCTTTTCCCCACTCTCCCTGCCCTTTCCAATGGTTCCCCCAGTCCCCTCCCCCGTGTATGGTTTTGGGGGCTCCAGGCCCCTCCTGCTCGGTTTTGGGGTTGCAACCCCGTTTTGGATTAATCTGGGGTCCCCAGCCCATCCCCAGGGTCACCTTCCCCCCCGCCCCAAATTGCGCTCCTAGCAACTGATGAGTCATCAGCGAGACACGCTCTGATTGGCTGGAAATTACCCCGCGCGGTCTGCGATTATTTAACGCATGAGAGGCCTTGGTCTGTGCCTGGCAACTGATGAGTCAGAGTCGAGCCGGGCGCTGATTGGCTGAAAATCGCTGAGCGGGGCCAGTGCTCTGAGTTTCTGCGCATCTACTGGATCGTCATCAGTGCCGCGCGTTCTGATTGGTCGGGATCTGTTTCGGGGTGGGAACAGGAGGAACTGGAGTTACTTGGGGTTTCGTTGGGTTTATTTAGTGATTGTTTGGGGTTTATTTGGGGTTATTTATGGATTATTTGGGGTTTATCTTGGGTTTTACTTGGTTAATTTCTGTTTATTTGGAGTTATTTGGAAGTATTCGGGTTAGTTTGGGTTTATTTGGAATTATTTGAGGTTCTTTGGGGTTATCTTGGTGTATATGGCAATTTTTTAGGTGTAATTGAAATAATTTGGGGTTTTATGGGTTTAATTTAGGGGTTTTTTTGGTTTTGTGTGGTTATTTGGATTTCTTCAGGGTTATCTGGGGGACTTTTGGGTATTGTTTGGGTTTTTTTGGGGGTTATTTGGGGTTTATTTCGAGTGTTTTGGGGTTATTTGGGTTATTTGGGGTCATGTGGAGTCAAAAATTCCGGGAATGTTTCTCCTGCAAAAATATGGGAATTTTCCATAAAAATCTGAGAGTTTATCTCCAAGAAACTGGGAATGTTCCCTTAATAATCCCGGACTTTTCCCAGCCAATAGCGGCGCGCTCCGCCCCAAACCATCCAATCACCGCGGGCCTCCCCTCAGGAAGAGCGGCCTCCCCGTGCGCCGATCCAACCAGTCACCGCAGGTATCCCCTCAGCTACTGCCGCCTCTCTCGAGCCGAACCAACCAATCACCGGGAGTCTCCCCTCATCCACTTCTGCCCTCCCCGCGCCGCTCCAGCCAATCAGAGCCGAGCCCGAAGCGGCGACCCCTGACCGCGGGCCCGGGCATGGAGCGGGCGCCTCCTCCTCCCCCGCCCCCCCCCCGGGACCCCCTCAGGGACCCCCGGGAGCCGCCCCGGGCTCGGGCGGGTCCTGCGGGAGGCGCTGGAGAGAGCGGAGGAGGCGCTGGGAGAGGACGGGGGGCCCCGGGAGCTGCTGAGGAGGCGCAGGAACAGGTGAGGGGTCCTGGAGGGGTCGTAAGGGGAATTTGGGGAGGGGTCTTGAGGATGTTTGGGGGGCATTTGGGGAGGGTCTGGGGGGAACTTGAGGGGGATTTCGCGGCGTCTGGGGGGGCTTTGGGAGGGAATTTGGGGAGGGGTCCTCGGGGGGTGTCACGATCCGTCCTCACAGACGGGTTTCGTGATGGTTCGTGGATTTGATCTCAGGGTGCAAAAAGAACCGACACGGTACAAGGGGGTTTGCAATGATAATCAAAACAAATGCACCTTTATTGAATGACCCCACAAAATGTGATAGAGGGATTAAGGGAGAGAAAAAGATAGAGGAAGAGACAGACAAAAGAGAGAGAGAGAGAAAGAGGGGGATAGAGCTACCAAACGTAGAGACGAAGTCCTTTGGTCCAGTCCAGTTGAGGATCCGCCTGTTAGGTCGGGGAGATCTCGAAGTCTCTGGCTAACTCAGAGGTTTTTATTATGATAACTCTATTGGAAATTGCTGGGGAGGGGGGAAACAGATACAATAAGGAATAGATGTAACAGGTAGTCCATGTTCTCAGCAGTAAACGAGAGCCATTGTGTTCTTGGTCCAGCGGTCACAACCTGCAGGCAAACATCTCGCTTTGGTCAGCTTGCCTCCCCCACACACCTGCCCCGGGCTGGGGGTTTCAGTGCCAGTCCTTGGAAGGAGCAGAGGGGCCTTTTCACATGGGGGTTTCATGTCTCAGTCCTTGATGGAGAGGCTCCTTACATCTCAGTCTGTCTCTCACGGTGGTTGTAAAACAGGTGAGGGTCTTCTGTGGGGGGACCACCCAGAACTCAGGAGAATCCAGCCAGGCTGAGAGGTGGGACAGCTCCCAAGGCTGTTGTTGCACAAAGGGCACAGTGCTTCCTTCTTCTTCTCATTGGGCTCAGTGTAGCACACAGCAAACAACACCTGTGCAAACAATGGCTTGGCAACGCTCTCAGGTCTCAGGCACATGACTTTCTCCTTTGGAGCCAGAGATTTAAGACAGGGGGGGTCTTCTCTTCAGTGGTCCCCCAATGACGATCGTGAGGCAGATGAGGGAAAATTCGGACAGACTCTGACACGACCCCGTGACTCACGATTGTCTTGAGGGATCTTCATCAGCAGAACTCTGGAGTGTCGCTGATGGGTCTGCAGAATTCACCGTATGTTGGTAGTATAACCCGGAAAAATAGGGACAACAGAAAGGGAGGAAAAGAGAGAGAAGGAAAAGAAAGGATAGGAAAAGGAGGGGAAAAAGGGAAAAAATAAACAAGCATAATTAATATTGATTTTCATAACAATTTTCACTAATGGTTGAATAATTAAAACAATGTTACTTTTATAACACTTTTCAAATGGTTAAACCAAGTCACAAATAATCAAAAGCAAAAGCAATAAACAAATCATAATACAAGCATTAACTTTAAAAAATTATTTTCTAAAACAATTCACTAAAAATCGAAAGTAATTCCCACAAAATCAAATGGAAATTAGGATTATTCCAAAACACATTTGCTTCATTCATAATTGCCTTGTGTCAAAGGCTTGGGGATGTCCACAGTGCATGGGACATCAGCCAAGTTGTGTGCATTAACTATAGACGTCAATCTTGTCAGCTGTTTCATGCTCCAATTCATAACAAATGGGACTGCTGATAAAATAAAACCAAGCAGAATTGGTATCAAAAGGATAACAATGGGATGACACAGACTGCTCAGGACACCCGTGGCAGTAGGAGACCACCTAAAAGAGTATCCCACCCCCTGTGCTCGGCATCTTTCTCCACCCTTTCCATGACACGGGGTATCTGTCTCACATTGTGAACAGTCACCAGGGCTTTCTGTGCATTTTTCTCAATCTTCTCAAGGATTTCAACTAAGTCTCGATGGAGCAGCAGTTGTCTTACCAAAGTGAGATCCATCCCAGTAGGAGTAGGCATCAGTTTGTGAATCAGTGTGTAGTTGGATTGCAATGGGTAGTGAGAGGTGACTGGAGCTTCATAAGAGAAATCCCATCCTGCAATCTTGGTAAAGTTACAAGCACAGAAATTTGAAAGATTTTTAGTATCTACTGCCACATTTTCTACAAATACAAAATGACAAGCAGTTCTAAGCATGCACATCTATTGCCTATGTATGTAAGGACTGTTTCAGAAGTCTCATTAGGATGAATTTCAAAATGACAGATATTTTGCTCTGTGTCTGAACAAATGTCTTGAGCTATGATTGCATTGCTTTCACAGATGAGCCCTTGTTGTTCTCGGACAATACAAGGTTCCAAATTAACAGTTTGCCATTTCTCACCAATTTGACGGGCCCATTCTCTATGGGATAGAGAACAGCTCCGCTGTAATTCAGTTCTAATGCTATAACAGGGAAAATCAAATGCTCTGAGGCACTGTGTATGGTTAACACAAAAACTGTGGCTGTATTTGCAATGGGCTCATAGGTAAAATTCACCAGGTTCCACCAGGATTGGAATTCTCTTTCAAAGTCAGTGGCACTGTCCCAAATTATTTTCCGAATTTCAGTGGGAAAAGTGCCTTCTTCACCTTCTCTTATAATTGAGGCAGCAACTGACTGCATCCACAATTGTGCCTGGATACAGCTGAGAGCCAAAGAAACGTTGTTTTGTGTAGCACCAAGTGCATCAATTATCAATTTGTGATCATTTACATTTACTTTTTCCCAATCCAACCACAAACACCCCCCTTCCCAGGCTGTGTACCTTTTTTCAGTATCTCTGAAACCACGGGAATAAAAACCAACAGGCTTTGTCAGACCCTCAGGACCCCGCTGCCGTATATGAACGGAAAGCTGTGAGGAGGCAAATCCGTATTCCAGCTGAAAGGGATCTGTGGGATGGACAGGGTCCAGTGCTTGGTGAGCTGTCACTTCAAAAATCAGTAATTGCAATGTTTCCTCCTGAAAAGAAGTCCAATCCCATTTTATTCTTTTTCTCAGCAAGTCATAAAGGGGAACAAAAGGGTCATTCTGGTTCCTGAGAGGTTTATCTGGTCTTTCTATAGGAGACATAGCTACTGTGGTTTTCTGAAGGAGAATTGCTGTAGGTTTAAGTGTTCCTGGAAGCC